AAAATAATTCCATAATAAATGAACTCAACAAACACTTAACACGCACCTCTTATGAACCATGCACTGTTCTCTATGTTGGAATGCAGAAGTGACCAAAACAGACTAACAAAAAATCCCTGTCCTCAACACAGGATTTGCTGGGAAGGGACAGAGGGAATTTTGTGAAGTGGTAACTACGTCCTATATGTCATGCTGGAGTGTGCATGGTATGGATACATCCTCTTGGTAGAGCTGAGATCTGTGCATTTCAATATGCAAATTTAACCTCATAAAGAATTTTTAAAAAATAACAATAATCAAGTGGGTGTGCCAAGTAAGGATAATGTAAGAATGTCAAAATGCTAAGAACTGTAGAAGCTGGGTTAGAGGCATGGAAATTTGTTATAGTTTGCTGTTTCTATATGTGTAATTGCCAAAATAAAAAGCTAGATAATGTGTGTACTCCTATAAATACATATTAATGAAATATAAGTAACAGATATTCTTCAGTGTTAATTAGAGGGGTTTTAAACTCAGAATCGAGGGGAAAGAATCGGTTACAGGTCATTTACAATGATTTGCCAAGTCCTTTATAGCAGTTTTTTCACCTTATCCTCACAATACCTTTATGGGATGTTTTTATCCCCATTTTGTAGATGGGAAAACTGAGGCTTGGAGAGATTACACGACTTGCCAACTAAATACAACAGCCAGAACAAGGGCCTAAGTCCCAACACCTCCTTCCACCAGCATTTCTCATACCCTTTGCCATACTGCATCAAGCACAGGGGCTGGGACCCCCACTGGGGCTGGGGTGGTACAGTCTGAAGGAGCCCAGGAAGCACCACTAGTCATGATAAATACAATCTTACTGCCTCTGATTAGTTCAGAATTATATCTGAAGCAGTGAAATTATTAAAATTTCAAGGAATAATAGTTATACCCTAGAATTGTACCTATACCATCGGCAATGGTTTTGATGTCACATTTGTCTGTTATAATATGCAATATTTTAATTTACATCCCTGGTCCCTAAAGACCTGCATGAGTCTCCCCCAGGCTCCCATGTCCTGGTACACACACAGATGTGATCATGATTTGGCACAGATCCCAAGCCAGGCTTTGGCCGAAGTTGTCAACAGGGTCCCCCTGTAATTAGGCACTTCTGCATCATAGCTATACTGTAACAACAACACACACACTTGTTTTCTGTCCATACTCAAGCAGACTCAAAATCTCAGATGCCAAGGAGGCTGATATGGCCGGTGATAATCTCCCACCTTGCCTATGTCCCTTTCCTGGCCGCCGTGTCACTTTGACAGATGTCGGACTTAGCATCACCAGAGATGAGCCCATTATGGACTTGGAAAGCCATATCATTTCCAAATGTAGACTTGCCCAGCCAAAAAAACATGCAGTGCTCAGAGATGTGCCAAATGTGTGGAAATATGGGCAGCTTCCCTGCTGTTCACAAGCACTCATGTCTCAATCCCCAGCAGAGGCAAAGGCTGTGGTCCAGACATACTGTTCCTTTAGGGCTCATTTGGTGCTGAATAAAAACTCTCTCCATAGTTATAAATGTGAATCATAATCCCTGTTTATACTGTTGAGTGTTCACCCATCTGTACTCTCTGTTGCCTTCATCTAAACTAACTGGCCCCAAAAACACTTTATCAAGGAAGTGCTTTATTCTAGTCAGGAGCCGGGTGATTAGGTCCTGGAAAAGTAGCTTGATATCCAGTCCAGAAAGTTAATTACTAACATAATTATCAAAACCTTATATTTTTCAGGGTTAAGTCAAGCACTGCCGTGGGCAGAATGTCTTTTTGGTTGGACTGTTCTCTGGCTGACAATAATGAGTTCTTAAAGACAATACATTCTTTGACTTTTAAAGCCAAACTCAAATATCTAAATATCTATTTTATCTATAGAATATTTCCTCGATTGCCAAAATTCACCTCGAGAATTTGAAATGAAATAAAGTCATAAACTGATTCAACCCAGCATTCAAAACTCTCTGTATTCAAGACTGTCTCTGAATGACTTTTTCTACAGCAGAATCAAACTTAATGCTACTTTTTTCCATATAAAATGCTTTAAGGTGGGGCCTCTGGTGGCTCAGGAGATTCAGGGTTGGACTCTTGATTTGGGCTCAGATCATGATCTCAGGGTCATGAGATCAAGCTCTGTGTCTGGCTCTGGGCTGGGTGTGGAGCCTGCTTAGGAGTCTACCCCTCAACCCCTTGCTGTCATGCTCTCTCTCTTAAAAAAAATAAATAAATAAAAAAGCTTTAGGCTCCTGCTGTATTCCTCTTACTGCTTTTGGTGGATTATTTCTTTTCCAAGCCACCTTGATTCAGCTTTCCTGGGACTGCTTACAGACACAGAAAGGAAGTATGAAGTTGCAGGTCCTCAGACCCAAAGCTGCTCAAACAGCTGAACACAGAAGTTTGTCTACTTGTCCTCAAGTGGAATAATATGCAATAAAATAAAAGAATGCAATGAAGAGAGCATCATGGACTGCAAGTTACAGCTCTTCAAGAAGAGGAGTTCCCATCAGCTCTCAATCTGTGATGAGCTAACCACCATGAGAGGGAACTTTCAATATGTCGCTAGTGTTGCATACATGGTCTGAATAAATGATGGATGACCTTAAAGCACATCTCACATGGACTTCTAGATTTCTGAGCCATGTGAATGACATATGGAACACATGGCATCTAACCTGGCATTCAGCAGTTCAAGAGCTCCCCATTACCTCTCCAACTTGCCTGGAATTTCATAGAAAGAGAACCTGAATATGCCCATCTGGGATCTTACTTTTCTCACTAACTACTGTTTAAAGGATGAACGAAGTTTCCTGCCTGGCTCGGATGAGCTCCCATCAATTTTACCCACCACTACATTCCTGCACCTTTGATGAGAACTAATTAAGCTCATGTGGTGTTTTTTTTTCCCCAGACTGTCTTTTGCTGCTCTGGAACAGAGCACACCAAATTAAGCCCATCTGTCTAAATGGGAAAAAGTTATTTATCCCACTGCCAAGCAGGCTTTCTTTCCTACCCAGACCCTGCCTTCCAAGGTTCCTAAACATCTTATGGTGATTACAGTAACCCCAACTCCTAACCAGCTAGAATTCTGGGAAGAGTAGTTGCATGTTACAACAAGGATCATCTACCAATCCACAGCAATCACTTCCTCACATGGCACAATGTCCAAGGAAGCCACAGAGCATGCTACCAGACTATCATTCAAGGTCAAAATTACAACGTCCAAGAATTCGGTGCAATTTTTAGGTTGCTGTTCAGCCACAATCTTGCCCCCACCAAAAAAGGGGGAAAGTCTTTTTTCATTAACTACGTCCCAATCAGAGAGCCTAATTAATTTCAATGGAGGCTTATGCCACATGAGGTTACTTTTGTTAAAAAAGGAGGAAACAACCCTGCCATTCACACCTGCCAGATGACAGTTATAGGAAAGATGCCCTGGGCAATGACAGGCCCACATGCCTGCCTGGGCGACCATGTTAGGCTCCGGGATGATGGCTCCCCGCCCCCAACCGATGCTTCTCAGCCTCAATCAACTCAATTGTACTAACTCCCACCACTGACGACTGCTCAGGCAACGAACAAAAGGAAAGAGAATCAATAATCATCTGACAGTCATGATACACTGTTACTCCTGACCTAAGGAATCTTCACTTAGGTTGAGTTACGGAAAGAAATTAAAGCACATAGGAATGCCAGTCTTACTGTAGAAGTGAAGCATGTCCAGCTGAAGATTAACAGAGGTGCCTAAACTAGTTGGTAGGTCTGTTATATAATAGGTCCTTTATAACATAAAAAGGGTTTTAATAAAAGAACTCTTTGTTCCAAGTTTCTTAATTATTGCTTTTTCTTTTATTCCTATCCTAAGCAGATTTATGGAAATAAATAAATAAATAAATAAATAAATAAATAAATAAATAAATAAGGATTCCAGTGAAATCAGCAGTTTTCAAACTGTTTTTAAAGGCAGAGACGCTTATGCAAAAGAGATCCATGTGGCCCCTCCCCCACCCTACCCCCAAAATATAAAAGATGGTCAAAAAGGAGTTGGTCTGGATGAGAAGACATTCCTGAAGGGGTCCTGAGGTCACCACAGTGAAATAAAACAATTTGAAAAGCACTGAACCAGAATGAATCCAATTAGAATATGTAATGAAAATTTAAATTTATAAATGCAGAAGTTTCAGTAAGATTTTTTTGTAGCAAACACACAACATGGAAATATTAGTATATATACAGATTACAGAGAGACAGACCTAAATTATTTATTTACTATTTATCACATGCAAGTTCAAATACTGCACTAATCCTACATAATGGTCTTAAAGAAACAGCCAAACGAATTTCAACACCTAAGTGCAAGAATGGAGCCATGTAAAATGGTGATTATGAAGAGCTCTTAAATGACATGGAAGAACTATAATAAAATATTTAGTAAAAAAGCAAGAATTATATTGCTAACATAAAAATGCTGAGAAACACTGAGGAAGGCTGCTAAATACCAATATGGTAATTACCAGGTGAGAGATTAGGGTGGTTTCTAGCTTCTTTACATTTTATTTTGTTTTTGAAAGAAAAAGAGAGAAAAAGAAAGAAAAAAAAAGAAAAGGAAGAAAGAAAAAAGGATTAACCTAGACATTATTTGCACTTAGAATCCATAAAAATATACTATACACTGGCTAACAGTGAAAACATTTTTTCACTTAAATTAAAAAATAAAATCTAGTGTTTACCGAATACAAGTATTTGGTCATACCATCCTAGCCAATACTCAATCCATCTGATGACCAGAGAGCTAGATGATTAATCCTTTGAGACCTGAACTTTGCACCCCAATTTAGCACAGCAGTTTACAGAGAGATGCTCCTGGCACGACCAGGACTGCTAGAAGGCCTGGGAGGGAGTGCTGGATCAGGAGCAGGACACAGAGCAGCCCCGCCAGGCAGAAGCATATTCCCAGTGCCACCCACTCACCACATCCAGGTCCTGGGAAACCCGTCGTTTGCGGAGCTCCTCCATCCTCTCACACACATCAGAGAAGCAGGTGTTGTAATAATCTGCATACTGCTGTGCCAGGTCATCGATGTTTCCCAGGGAGCCATCCTGGGGGCGAGGAGGGCAACAGGAAGAAACAGGAAAAGAACAAAGACAGTCAGTCCACCTGTAGAGAAACCCACTGCTTTTGGTTCCCCCTCTCCACAGCATTTACACTAATAGCTGGTGGTCATTAAATGGTGAGCATGTGCCAGGCTAACTTCTGTGTGTGACACCTCCTAATCCTCAGGATACCCATTGAACACAAGACCTATTTCCTCACTGTACAAGTGAACAAACTGTAGGTCAAAGAAGTTGAGTGACTGCCTGCCCAAGTGTCCTAGGGCTAACAAGTAAAGAAGCCAGGCCTCCAACATAGGACTGCCTGGTACCAAAGTCATGGTCTTGTATCCACACCTCTGCCTGCCCATCAGGGCTAAGAAAGCCCCAGGAGAGCGCCTTCAGAAAAGGCACTCAGCAGGTAAGAGGCTCCTGAAAGCCCAATCAGTGGCTGCAACAGAACCTCCTGGAAAGTTTTGAGAAGTTCTGATACCAGGACACCACTCCCAGAAATTCTGACGGGAACCAGAGAATCGAGGACCATTGAAATCCTGCATCTGAGACACACCTGGGCCATGCCCTCCCATGAGACCTCTGAAAAGACAACCCTATTCCTTGAATTATTCCAAGAAATAGGAATAACATGCAAGAAGAGTACACGTGACAAATTCACCTAAAGAGGAAGCATGTCTGTCGCCCCAGAAGCTGCTCTGGATCCCCCCTTCCTGGGTTTACACTCAACTCTGCTGCCATTTACAATCCCATGGCCGGAGGCAGATATCCTAATCTCTGGGAACACTGGGACAGCGTAGTACCTATCTCACAGTGAGAAGTAATGAAGTAACACAGTCCACCTGGCACACAGGAAGCACTTGAAACTTATTTAGCTACTCATATTCAGTACAAGATAATGTTTCAGACTATAGTCTTCCCTTAGGGGAACTGATGCCTAAATGCATGTCTGAACATATACATATGGGAGGACAAATGCTGCATGCGTTTGTAAGTTATGCCATTTCTTCTATTTGTTCATTCATTCATTCATAGAAACATTTCCCCTGATCCTTTTAATATCCCCCAAATGTCCTTTCTTTGGTATAAATAAATGGCCCTACCAAGACAACCAAAGGAACACAACTTTTATCAGAGAGTCTAGAAGGTTTCCATTTTACAGACCACAGCCCTATCACATCACGCACAGCAACACTTGTCTGAATCTGCAAAACACACTCAGATGTAAGTGGGGTTTGGGAATTAAGAGTTCTTCAGAAGCCTTTCTGCTAAAGACCCTCTTCAGGCCTTGTCAAGAGGCCTGGGTCAAAGCAATCCCTAGCCAAAGCCTGCGTTCACTGATTTTATGCAACCAACGGACAGCAGAAACAGAAATGGAAAGAAATGATTTCCTAGGAAAAGAAACAAAACAAAACAATTCCTCCTCTCCCATCAGTAAAATGTTCCCCTTTTGGTAACTGCTTCCAAGTCCCCATTGCAGAGCTAGGGGCGAGAAGCACTCTTACAAGACCCATAAGATGTTTGAGTATCTGAACATGTCTGGGCAAAAGTTATTCCCCACTCAGTCTGTCGGTCTATCTGTCTGTCTCAGACAGGAGGCTGGATGGACACAGTAGAGGAGCTGGGAGCCTAGCCTCCTCTTCAATAGGTTTATTGTCAAGTTTCCAGTAGGGAAGTAACATCGGTCAAGGTAAGCAATCTGCTGCTGAGCCTCTGAGGAAAGGCCCAGGGGTGGTCATCCTGCTGGTTTTGGCTGTACTGCTGTCAGTAAAGTGCCTGAAACCAGAACCACTGTGGAGGAAGGGAGCCAGACCAGAATATCTTAAGGTGATGTTCCTGTAATACAACATGATAAATCAAATCATGATCCCAAGGTTTGCCCTGACTCGCCTCAACTCAACACCACGTACCCTGGGGGCCACAGCATGAAAAGCCACAACCTCCTGACAAGTCTTCCCATCCGTTTCCCCACTTGGGCCTACTCTGCCATCAACCCAGCCACCGAAGTGACCTTGCTAAACAGAGCTGACAGTCTCTCCTTCTTCTGAGAATCACCTATCACCCAGGTGACAAAATAAAGCCCCAGCTTGCCAGCCCAGATCTCAGGGCTCCTCACTTCACATCTGCTCCCCGTCCCGCCCGCTGAGGAAGGAGCGCAGGCCCGCAGACTGGGAGGCCCAGGGCAGCCAGAAGGGCAACCAGCAGCTTCCGACGGCAGCACCTGGCACTCAGCACGGGCTCTCTCCCACTCACCCACCTCAGCCCCAGCACCATGAGAACTGAGTTCTGAACACCAGCTGCGAGCACAGCCAGGACTGTGAGGAGAGCGCGGTGCCCCCTGAGCCGAGGGCTTGTGCCCACAGCTGCCCAGCAGCAGCCTCTTAACCTAGCTCGTTTGCTTATGGTTCAAGCTTCACAGAAACAAAATCCTCCCCGGCCGCCTTCTCTTCAAGAGCCTCGGGTTTCCTTAGTCCTCGCCCTTGGTATATACTGGGAAAGACCACGGTGCTCCCTTCCATGTGTGTTTTGGACGGTGGAGGGAACAGGGCTGGCAGCCACATCACCCTGAGAACCCACTTTTATGAGTGACTGCCTGGATCCTGCCACTGTCCCCAACTTCTGGGGCCCCTGGAAGTTCCTGGGCCCTTCAGGATTGTGTCCAGTCTCTCGAGAATATGATGCTATCCTATCTTCAGCCAGAAATGTCTACCTTCATCCATTCAGGAAGGGAAACATGCCTGCGACTTCTGACCCAATACAAAACCCACACCTTATAATACCGGGGTGAATCTGTTAGAGGCCTTACACCATATAGCTCCATACTTTCCTAGGCTTGCTGTTCTTAAATGGAAATCCCTCGAGGCACCTGGGTGGCTCAGTGGTTGAGCATCTGCCTTAGGCTCAGGACCTGATCCCAGGGTACTTCTCCCACTGCTTTTATTTCTGCCTCTCTCTTCTCTCTCTCTCTCTCTCTCTCTCTCATTCTCTCATGAATAAATAAATAACATTTTTTTTAAAATGGAAACCCCTGTCTCTTTCATAGAGGCACTAAGAATTGTACTGTTTTAGCCAAGGCATGCCAATCTTGAATTCTAGCTTCCCCAAAAGCATCAGCCAAAGTATACAACTTAACACAATCAACTGTCTTCTTGGGTTAATCAAGTCCACTCCAAAATAACTCTCAATTATTTAGATAGCTTTATTCAAATTACCTTCTCCCCTTTTTCCTAGCAACACTTTCAAAACCAACTGTTTGGTTCTCAAGTTTCCAGACTTGCTGATCAAATGTTTTTTGCCACTGGTAAGAAAAGTTGAAGTCCCTATTTTTCAGTCCAAATCACCCAAAATTCTGCAGTAACTTGGGGTCCTGGAAAATATATCTCTGGCTCACACACACAAAAATAGGTAACTCTTCAACTTAACGCAGGCCAAAGGCAGAAAATGCTTCACACCCTGCGACATGCTGCATTATCCACTCCTTACTTGGCACTCAGCAGACAATACTTTACAACAGGGTGGCATAGCCGCCTCTGTTTTCCCAAGTCGCCTTCCAGATGTGCAATAAGTTCCCCAAATTTCCACTTCCATCAGTCTTGATGATTTAAATGCCAAGAAGGGCAAAAAAATAAAAGAATGTGTTTTTAAAAAGTAGCTCGTCTACCATACCCAGAAAGGAATCCTGCTCATCCCCATCAAATGGAATCAATGAACCACAAGATGATTTTCTCTTTACCCTCTCAAAATCTATGCTCTTTCAGGACTATCTGGAAACCTCCACACCATTTCTGTCCAACCTGTTCCTACTTGAGATAGCACAGTCCTATTCAGTAAAAACATTCATTTCTAACAGAAATGTTTGCAAAAGTAGTCATCAGGGAATTCAAATAATGTAGCCGATGTTTAATAGCACCACATCTCGCTCATCTCTCTTTTTGAGATGTGAAGTTTGTGCCTGACTCAACACTCCACAATGCTAATTTCAAGAGGCACTGATGTTATTACAAAATAAACCTTTGACTACAACTTTAAACTCTCTCTAAATACAATTATTAAAATACTGAAATGGATTCCTTTTTAAACTTATTTTTCTTTTAAGGTGTTCACAGTTTCAGCCTTAGAGTGATTACTTGCCTTATTTGTTTCACTTCTTATTTTCCACCTTTGGTTCTCACGCATCAGGCTGAAGCAATATGGGTTCAAGTTTAGGAACAAGGGAGAGATCTTATTTCCTCAAAGATTTTTTTAAGTGAATTGTGAAATTTTGTGCCACGTGATCTTTTTATAAGAATTTTCACATCTTCATCTTAAAAAAAAAAGAATATAATCCATGCAAATTCAAGTTCTCTTTCCCTTTCCTTTTTTATTTTATTTTTTTTTTAATTTACTTATGATAGTCACAGAGAGAGAGAGAGAGAGAGAGAGAGAGAGAGAGAGAGGCAGAGACACAGGCAGAGGGAGAAGCAGGCTCCATGCACCGGGAGCCCGATGTGGGATTCGATCCCGGGTCTCCAGGATCGCGCCCCGGGCCAAAGGCAGGCGCCAAACCGCTGCGCCACCCAGGGATCCCCTTTCCCTTTCCTTTTTACCAAATCAGGTCACAGCATCTTTCCATACGGCCATCCACTTCACTTGGTATGGCTTTAAATTAAATCTGTAGTTTCACTCCCAATAGCAGGTCAATGGAAGACAAATATTGTGTAATCTTCCCAAGAAGCCATAGCATGCATTTCCACCAAACACTCCTCTTTTATACAACCAACATAAAAATATAGAGATAAGGGGCATTTGTACCAAACAATTCACATCAGGTAGACTGCTGCTGCAATTAAGGAGAAAAGAAACAGCACTGTTCTCTCAACAACTGATTTAACAGTATTTCTGGTATTTATCCCAATGTACTTCTGTCTCTGAGAGATGTGAAAACTAAAAGTACTAGGAAAACAAAGCAGTTGTATCATTAACTTCTGTTATTTTTGCTCTCTTCTTTCCCAGATGTC